AAATAGAAGTAAACTATAAAGTTCTGTAAGGATGCCCCAAGGGACACATAAGGTACTCGTGATCATTAGTATCATCACTGTTGCCTGATATTCCCTTCAGCTTTCCTCTCCAGACACTAACTCAGAAAACTTTCTGGTGTGTTTATCTTACAAAATGAGCTAATTCCCACAGGGCTCCTTCCAGAGGCATCCTGGGCTTGGGGCCAATTAGCGAGTCTCAGGTTGTTGGGATCGCTGCAGACTGCAGCTTCTCCTTCACTAGTTCATTGTCTTCTCTTTGATGACTGCAGGCCCATCTTATACGTCTACATTTTTTCTCCTGCCAACTCTTGGTCTGGCCCATTTCCACTGGTGATCATGATCAGTTCTAAGGCCAGTAGGAAGGATTTCTGTGAGAGTTCAAGTACGCACAATAGTTTAGACTTAGGCACTTAAGCACATTCTATAGCAGATTCAGCCCAAGAGGCAAGAGTTTAGGTGTTGACTCTACCATCCATCTACAAGACTTCGACAAAATCCCTCACATCTTTCTGCTTTCAGTTTATTTATCTGGGAAATGGGTGAGTAGGACAACTCTTGGCAGTTTTTAATTAATTTTGTTATTTAAAAAATCAGCATGGGTCAGGGATTTGGCTCAATGGCATAAGCACCTGCTGCGAGTTCAATCCCTGGTACCAAAAAGAAAAAAAAAATCAGCATGACCCAAGTTTTACCTTGTCTCTGATCCTAGATTGATTCTATCTCAGGCAAGTTATTGCACCTCTCTGGGCCTCCATTTCCTTATTCAAAGAGGAAATTAATCCAAATCTGGACTATCTCTTCAGAGTTGAAATGAAAGTCAATGACATATATGAGAAGAGTTAGGACCAGTGGGGTGACATAAATTCTAAACAGCCATTCCTGAAATGAGCCTAGCACTGGGGAAGTTCTGATTTATATGTCTACCAATTTATATAGGGTTATACTCAGCCTGGCCAATGTCAAAGTAGCAACATGATGCCACTAAACTGGGCTTGGGAGTGTACAGTAGTGTATCATTCCACATGCAGACATGTAGACATGATCAGTCTCTGAAACACAGACAGCAGTAAAATGTGGCAAAAGGATGTGAAGTGTTTTTGTCATTTGTAATTTTTGGTATTAATGTAACTTACTTAGAGTTATATAACTGAACTTCTGAAAATGGCTGTGTTTAATAACCAAGCTATAATATTTCTTAACCACAAACGACTTGTTCTGGTGGTCTGTAGTTGATTGGGAAGAACCTCTGAGTCCAGTCTTCTTTTTCTCCTTTGGGGAAACCAAAGTCCAGACAGAAGACAGGCCACTTATAGTCAAGAAAAGTTGGCAGGTTTTATGCAGAGCTTTCAGTATTGTCTCATTTAACTTTCTTAGCCATCCTAGAAAGTAAGGGGGGTTACTGTTGGTATTTTATAGAGGAGACAATTGAGGAGTAACAGCACATTTAAGAGAGCAGGCACTGGAACTTGATAGATCTGAATTCAAATTCTGATTCTCCACTTATATGATGTGAGCATCTGGGCAAGTTTCTTACTCCACTGGACCCCTATATCCTTTGTGTGGCAGGGGATGACACTGCTTACTTCCTGATGCTGTGTGTCAGAGTTGGGCTAAGGATCTGCTATAGAGTAAGTGTGCAATGGTTTAACACTTAGTTGTTGTTGGAGAAGCCTAGTAACTTGTCTAAGGTATTGTGTTCATGACAGTTGAGCTTTTTGTCAACTTGATCAGCTTAGGAGTTGCCTGGGGGATTAGTAAAAAATACTTATAAGTGTGTTTGCTAGTTCATGGAGGTGTGAACTGGTCCCTTCCTTTTGTTTCTGTTGTCCTGCTTTGTTTCTTAGCTGCTATAAACAAAGCATATTTTCTCCCCCATGTCTTTCGGCCATGAGGTTCCTGTCTTGGAGTTACCAACCATGGACTGAATCCTCTAAAACTTTGAGGCAAATAAATTTCTCCTTTATGTTACAGGTGTCAAGTATTTCATTCAGCAGTGGGAAAGCACTGACCAATAAGTGCTGGTGGAGAATGGAGGAGGACTTTGATTTGCCAGAGGTAGTTCAAGAAGGAATAAAAGTATGACTCAAACATTATCTAATTGAAAAATCAGAGCTCGGGATAAAAGTTTAAAAGAGGAATCAGAACAAAGACTTAAGTTCTTGATACCTGTATCAGGTAGCCAGGTCTTACCCCATCTCAGCTGAGTGCTCATATGACCCAAGAAGGCTGGACAGGTAAACAGGTTACTAACTCCACCTAGGAAATGTTTCCTCATGCTGTAGTAGGTACCTCTTCCTCATAGGGTTTTTGTAAACGGAATTCAGAGAATTCCATCTTGGCATCACACCCAGGGATAGGAAAAATCCTATTCTAGTTCTTCTGAGAAGGGTAGATGAGGAGGCAGGACCATAAAAAGGAGCTTGTCCTGCTGAGAGAGACCTGAGATGCCAAGCTTCTCTATATCTGCACTCCAGGACCGGATGGTCAAGATCTTCGGCAGCCAGGGCTGGCCTGGCTAGGTTCAGAGAGCTGAACTATGGAGTGAAGGTGGAGGTTCAGCCCCCAACCTCTCAGAAATTGTGGGCTTTTGTGGAGCCTGGGCAACCTAGAACCACTACTACTTGGACTCACATACTTGAAGGATTTACTGTTTAGACTAATTCCCTAAAGAGCAAGAGACAGTATCTGTGATACCGTTTTGTGAATTCATAAAGGCTGAGACTGTCACTGGCTTGGGGCGGTGAGTGGGATCCTAGACATATTGGGCTAGAAATGAGAGATGCATCTAGAATTGCTTTTTTCTTTTTGGTAGTGGAAATCAAACTCATGACCTTGTGCTTGCCAGGCAGGCAGGCACTATGCTGCTGAGCTATATCCCCAGCCCTTTAGAATTGACTTTTGTGTGCAGTATATGAGGTAGGAGTAAACTAGGTTTTTTTATACAATGAAAACAATAGTACAAAATTTCAAAATAAGATTGTAGGAGAGTAACAATAGTTAGTACATTTCTATTGTTATCTTCAAAGTAGTTGTTCATATTACAAGGCATAGGCATGAAAAACTGACCAAACAATATAGACACAAACTTTTCATTTCAATGAACTAAAGAAATTGGCAGTATAACTGTGTTAACTATTTCGTGTACATATACATATATATTTATTTATTTTTCCTTTTCCTTTCCTTCTTTTCTTCTTTCCCTCAACCCATGAAACAGTTTTTTTTCCTATTTCACAATATCTATTGTAAAATTTTGAATTTTATATACTTTTTCAGCTTCTTACACTAGGGAGACAATAGGATGCTTACACAAATTTGGTTTATTTTACTTATGAATATGGTCTTAAATTGCATCCATCCTCCAAAAAAGTCTCAAGTTTACCCAACTTTACAGCTGAATAGTACTCCACTGTATAAAAATACCACATCTTTTACCCTTTCCTTGGTTGATGGCCATTTGGGTTGTTTCCAGGATTTAGCTATTATAAACTGGGCTGCTATAAACATGGGTGCACTTATATCACTATGGTACGTGATAGAACTGGTCAGCAGTGACAGCCTTTCTAAATTTCTTGTAGAATTTAGCTGTGAATCCTTTGGGATCTGGGCGTATCTTTGTTGGTAAGTTTTTAATCACATTTTCAATTTCAGTAGCTGATATTGGGTTATTCAAAATTGTTATATCTTCTTGATTCAGCTTTAGTAATTCATACCTTTTTAGGAATTTGTCCATTTCTTCTGTGCTTTCCACCCCATGTGAGTAAAGACTTTCAAAATAGGTAGTCATGATCTTCCAAATTTCCATGGGATCTGTAGTAAGTTCACCATTTTCATTCTTTATTGCATGAATTTGAGTTTTTTTTTCTTTTTCTTGATGAGGTTACTGAGGGGCTAATCAATTTTATTTATTCTTTCAAAGAACCAACTCTTCGATTCATTGATTCTTTGTATCGTTTTCTTAAGTCTCAATTTCATGAATTTCTGCTCTGATCTTTATAATTTCCTCTCTTCTATCAGCTTTTTTAAAATTTTTTAATTCGGTACCAGGGATTGAACTCACAACCGCGTGCTTGCAAGGCAGGTGCTTATGCTGCTGAGCTAAATCCCCAGCCCTTCTATCAGCTTTGGGCTTGACTTGCTCTTATTTTTCTAGGAGCTTGAGGTGCAGCATTAAGTTGTTTATTTGTGCTCATTCTGTTTTTCTGATGTGGCTATTCATTGCATTATATTTCCCTCTTAGCACTGCTTTCATTGCATCCCACAAGTTTCAGTATGTTTTATCTGCATTTTCATTGAGTTTTAGTTATTGTTTAATTTCCTCTATAACTCATTGGTTGTTCAACAGGGTATTATTTAATTTCCATGTATTTATGCAGGTTTTGCAGTTTATTTTGCCATTAATTTCCAATTTCAATACACTATGATCAGATAATATGCATGTGATAATTTCAACCCCTTTACACTTACTTAAGTATGTTCTATTTCAGAGAATATACCATGTGCAGCTTAGAAGAGTGTGTATTTTGATGTTGATGTGTGGAACATTCCGTAAACATTTATCAAATCCATTTGTTTACAGGTTTGATTCAGTTCTGTTATTTCTTTTCTTTTCTTTCTTCCTTTCTTTCTTTTCTTTTCTTTTTTTTTTTTTTTTTTGCAGTACCAGGGATTGAACTCAGGACCTCGCACTTGCCAGGCAGGCACTTATGCCGCTGAGCTAAATCCCCGGCCCTTATTTCTTTACCAACTTTTTGTCTAGTTGATCTATCTCTTGGTGACAATTGGGTATTAAGGTCCCCTATTATAATTGTATTATTGTGTATTTGGCTTTTTATGTCTACTAGTATTTGTCTTAAATAATTGGATGCTCTTGTATTTGGTGCATATATATATATATATATAATTGTAATCTCTTCCTCTTGAAGTTTTTCTCTAACAAATATATGGTGACCTTCTTCATATCTTTTGATCATTTTGGTTTGAAGTTCACATTGTCTGCAAACAGAATAGCTACCCTGCTTTTTTCTGGGTTCCTGTTGCATAGAATATTGCTTTCCATCCTTTGAGTTTTAGTCAAAGTTTCCTTTTAAGTCAGATGTGTTTCTTGTATACAGCATATTGTTGGATCCTGTTTTTTGATCCGTTCTGTCAACCTATTTCTTTTAATTGGTGAATTGAAGCCATTTACATTGATGAATAACACTCACATGTACTGGATTAACTTTGTCACATTATTTTCCTGTTTTTGGTTCCCTGCTTTTCCTCCTTGTTTAGTTGCTTTCCCTGTGTGGTGGTTTTTTTTTTTTTTTTTTTTTTTTTTTCTGTTGCTGTTCTGGGAATTGTAGTCATTTTTGTCTCTCTCTAGTATGTCTTTCAGTATTCTTTCTAGGGTTGGCTTGGTAGACATGAATTTCTTCAGTTGTTCTTTATCATGGAAGTACCTTATTTCTCCACCAATTTTCAAAAAAAGTTTTACTGGGTACATCATACTCCTTTGTTAAATAAAAGTTCTTTTTGTTCATAATCACTGGCTGCAATCCTGTCTTCTATCCTCAGCTTCATTCAAATGATTTTGCCAGCTTTCAATAGAGTTTTCTTAATTTCCTGGATAACTCTGAATTTGTTTCATGCATTCTATTTCTTTCCTAAATTTTTCATTCAAGGTTTCCATCATTTTTCTGTGCTCCTGTACTTTTTAAAAAAATCTATGTCTTTTCTAGCTATGCTGAGCAATTCCTTTATTAATGTTGTCATTTCTTTCTTTACTGAGATATTATTTCCAATATGGTTTCCTCTATAGCCCCATGCGTTTGTTTCTTTTTTTCAGTTGATATTTTTTTCAGGAATTTCAGATGTATGACTTATGGTATCCTCTATTTCAATGTCTCCTGTACTTGTTCCTGATTGCCTGGATATTTGAGGTTGCATTTTGCTTTTTTGTTCTGTCATTTTTACCTCCTGGGTTAATATTTTATCTTTTCAGTCCCATTAGTCTCAAATGATTATTGTTTGTGTTGTAGGTCCTACTGTAATGGTGACGTTTGGTCAATGGCTGGGTCCCACAATGAAAGGGAGGGGCCAGTCACCTGAATTCCTCCTGCAGGGTCTATTGAGTAAGTCTTATATTCTCCCTAGACTAGTCTAGGAGTATTGATGTAAGCTAATCCTTAGATCCTATTATTACTGTGGTTTGGGCTATTCCAGGCTGCCAGATTTACCTGACTATATTGTACACCTCAGCAGGGACCCTACTGTGTCACTGGGGGTCTCTTAGGCCATTTTGAGTTTCTCTAGATTTGGGGAGGCCTTGTTGGCTCTCTCCTCAACCCAGCTGGTGTTCTCTGTATGGAAGAAGGACTCACCTACACTCTTGCTGGGCTTTCCAAAGTCTTACAGCTGGAGGGGGAGGGTTCGCTGCTTCTGTTGACCCACTGAGGTCCTCTATTTGAGAGGGAAACTCATCACAATGTCAAGCCCACTGAGGTTCTCTGTATGGGTGAGGAGTTGCTAAAGCTACCACCAGCCCACCAGGGTTCTGCAGGGTATGGACAGGGTAGCTGATGGTGGGTGGGCTGCTGAGGGCTCTGCCTGAGGGAGAGTGGTGACCAATGATCCCACCACCCCTGAGGTTTCCAGGGTGAAGGGGGAGGGGCTGCTGCTGATCTCACTGGCTGCAGAGGTCTCCAGTAAATATTTATTGAGAATAAGGATGTTCTCTTATATAGAAGTTATTGAATTCAGGAAATTTAACCTTAAAACAATACTATTGTAAAATCAAATATAATCCAAGTCATATTTCAATATAGTCAATTGTCACAATAATGTAATTTTTAATATACATTCTTTTCAGGATTAAATCTTGTATTAGTTTTTTTAGTTCATTTCTATCTGTTGTAGATTCTCAGCATTTCTCTTTAATTATTGGTTTGTTTTTAGACAAGATCTTGTTCTGTAGCTCAGGTTGGTTTTGAACTCACTATGTGGTTTAGGCTGGCCTCAAACTCATGGCAATTCTCTTGTCTCAGCCTTCCAAGTGCTGAAATTACACATATGGATCATCACACCTAGATATTGATTTTATTTTGAACTTAGAAATTAGTTATTTGATAGAATATTCCTGAGTTTGGGTTTCTTTGATGTTACTTAATGATTATATTTAAGTTTTACATTTTTGGCTCAAATAATATTTAGGCAGTGCATACTTAGCATTTTATATCTGGAGATACATAGTATCTGCTTGCTTTTTATTGGTGATCACTCAGTGAAGAGGTTGTCTAGTTTCCCTAAGATAACTTGCAGGTATTTTTTTTTTCATTATCAAACTCATTCTTCATAGATTTAGCATCTGCATCAATCAGGATCCAAAGACAGGCAACAGAATACACCAGTAATCTGGACAAAGGAAATTCAATATAAGAAAGTGTTGACTAGTAAAAGGTGAGTACTAAAAAGGATGAAAGAAAAGTAGTTAAGTGAAAAAACAAAAAACAAACAAAAATAGCTACTACTTCTAGGCTGACAGTATATACTGAAGGGACTAAAGAGATGTCTTATTCTCTTTGCTTGCTCCAGACTAAAAAAGAAAAAAGCAAAATAAACAACAGCAACAACAACAAGCCTGATATTCAGACATTTTTAAGGAGGTTGTACTGCTCAGGAAAGCTCAGCCTGTCAGTGGACATAGAAAAATATTGCCTGGGTTGTATTTGCAATGTTCTGTAGAAGCACTTGTTGAGTAGGGGGACCAAGTGGCCTCCCAGGTGGAGGATCGGTTGCCTGAATTCATGGCCCTGAAGGTAGCCTGTACGCGCTGTCAAGCTTTTGGATGGGAAGAGTGTGGCCTAAGTGCAGGGCTGGTGTTGGTCCACTGAAGTCTGTCAGGCTGAGTGCTACTGACCTTCTCACACACCATGGCCAGTGGCTCTCAAACTGAGTGAGGAAGGATTGAAGGCAGCAACAGAAGCACCTGCTGCGATTACATTTGGTGCCCTCCATCACCTCCTGTTGTCAGAGCTTCACTTTGCACCTGCTGGCTGAAGAATAAAGTTCAGGATTATACAGAAAGTGAGTAGTGGGTCCAGAACTAAAACCTGAACCTGTCTGCTTGTACAGATGGCATTCTTGATCGGTTGAGCACTTCAGATGACATGTATAAATGTGATTCTATTCCAGGCCCCACCATGTGGATGCTTCCATTGCAGAACCAAAGTTGGGTTTCTGAATTTGTCCTGCTTGGCTTCTCCAGTGACCCCATATCCAACAGGATCCTTTTTATCGCCTTCCTTCTCCTGTACCTGAGCTCAGTCCTGGGCAATGGGCTCATCATCATCCTGATTTGCCTGGACAAACATCTCCACACTCCTATGTACTTCTTTCTTTGTATCCTTTCCCTGCTGGATATGTGCTATGTGACTACTACTGTGCCCCAGATGTTGGTGCATATTCTAGCTCACTCCAAGACCATCTCCTTTGCTGGCTGTTGGCTGCAGATGTATATATTTGGTGCCCTAGGCCTGACTGAGTGCATCTTCTTTGTTGTCATGGCTTATGACCGATATGTAGCCATCTGCTATCCACTGCGTTACACTGTCATTCTCAGTAGGGGCCTGTGCATGCGGTTGGTGGCTGGGACATGGGCCTGTGGCTTCCTTTTCTCTCTAATCCATACCTTCTTTACCATGAGGCTGCCATATTGTGGGCCCAACGTGATCAACCACTACTTCTGTGAAGGTCCCTCAGTGAGGAGTTTGGCTTGCATGGATACTCATCTAATTGAGGTGGTGGACCTGGTCATCAGTGTCTTTATGGTTTCGGCCCCACTCTTCCTTATTCTGGCTTCCTACATTTGTATTACTCTGGCCATTCTCAAGATTAAGTCCATCCAAGCCCGGTGCAAGGCTTTCTCCACCTGTGCCTCCCACCTGACTGTGGTCACATTTTTCTATGCTCCAGCTACTTACATCTACATGAGGCCCAACTCCAGCTACTCCCCTGAGAGAGACAAGCAGATATCACTGTTTTACAATGTCTTTACAGCCTTGCTCAACCCTATAGTCTATAGTTTGAGGAACAAGGACATTAAGTCAGCTTTTCTGAAGGTGATGGGACATAGTCGTAGGGTGGCCTAATGAATGGGAATTCAAGGGAAGCCTGGGGGAAAATGTGCACACTTAACAGAAGGACATGTGTCATGTAATACTCAACATTGTACATTTGAATCAAGATAGTATTCGTCAGAAAAATGTACATGAAAGCAGCATAACTGTTGATTAGCCTGCTGTGTTGTGGCACAATAACAAACAACTCAGTAATCTCAGTAGTTCACAACAACTAAAGTTCTTTCTTGTTAGTTTTCCATGTTAGTTGTAGACTGTCTGTGGCTCTCCTAGAAGAAGGAGCACTTTTATGGAACATGCAATTTTATAACGGGGGTGGGGGGGGACAAAGAAGAAGGGACTCCTTAGGTTTTTCAGAAGTGAAACACATCTCTTTGTATACAACTCACTGTCCAAAGAAAGTTACATGGACAAGCCCCACAGCAAAGGAGTGAAGGCTTTTCTTCCTAGAGGAGTGATGCAAGTCACATGGCACTGCATAGGCACAGACAGATCCTGAACAGGGAGGGTAATAAATGAAGGAGATAATAATATAATCTACTACAATATCACAGAAACCAGTATAATACATGTAACCATCATCAAACATGATAACTGGAAGTGATGTGGTTATGGAAATGGTGGAAGACCAAGGTGATGTGAGAAAAGTACTACATATAAACAATATGTGCTTGTAGGCACTGCAAATGAACTGATATTTGGAATCAACACATATCTGAGAGCTGACTTGGTACATGAAATCAATGCGCTAGCATGTTATACTTTGTATTATTTTGCTAAGGAACACAGGACTTGATGCTGAAGGATTTGGGTTTTCATCCTAACTTTGTTAACTTGCTGTGTTTATGTTTTAGGACAAATTGATTCTTTTCTCTGATTCTCATTGTATTCACCCATAAAATTAACACCTTGAATTTAATGATCTCCAAAGCCTATTGGTTTTCTAGAATTGTTTGCATACTAGGTGAATCATGGACAGTGTACAATATTCAAATGCAATGAATTTGTGGACACTAGAGAACTCCATGTGTATCTCTCTCGCTGCCCTGTAAGAGCACAGTGAGAAGGTGGCCATCAACAAGTCAGATTTCAGCAGAACATGGTCCTGCTGGTAGCCTGATCACAGTTTTATGATGGTTAATCTCAGTAGCCAACTTGACTGCATTGAAAGATGCCTGCAAAAGTGATAAAGCATACTTCTCAGTATGCATGAGAGGTGTTTCCTGAGATAATTGGCATGTGGTCAGGGATCAAAGTGGATACACTAGCCCTGAATGTGGGCAGCACCATCCAATAGGCGGGAGCCAGGATGGTACAGAAAGTGAAAGAAGGAGAAGCTCTATATTCATAAATTCAATTCTTTTTCAACATGTGCATTTTTTGCTCTTCCATTGCCTGTGAACATCAGACCCCAGCTTCTTCAGCCTTTAAATAAAGGTTCAACCAGTGCCTCTCCAGGGAACTTCCAGATCTTCAGGGGTTGCATCATTGGTCCCTCTTGTTCTGAGACTTTCTACTTTGAACTTTTACTTATCTCCCTGACTCTTCAAGTTTCAGATCCATTGCAGTTCTATTTGGCTTCTGATCATATAAAGCAAAGTTAATAAATCCCCTCTTACAATAGTGTATATGTTTTATTCATTGTTTCTGTAGAAAACCCTGACCAATACAGATTTTCAGCTTCCAGAACTGAGAGAAAACAAACATTTTCAGTTAAGACATCTAATTATTGTTTTTGTGATGGAACACTGAGTTGACTAATCCAGAGGGCAATCTTAAAATGATTAATTTTACTTCTGCCAGCAGTAGAATAAGACCTTGAAATAGAAACCAAGCCTAGTTATCTAAAAATGAAGTTGCAGAACTCTCAAGGAAATAAACAGTGCTCTATGATAGAGAAAAACAGAGGACAGCGACCTGTTTACCAAAAAGAAAAAAGTAATGGCTTGCAATCAAAGGCTTAAGATTTAGCTGACATTTCTGTGGGTGAGAAGAACTAGCCATAAGGAGCCAGAGGGGACTCTTGGGAAAAGGCAAGCTAAATACAAAGGCCTCAGTTTGGGAAAGGATTTTGGACGGTTTAAAAGAGCTGGAGGAAGGATAATGTGGCCATAACTGAGTGAGAGTAAATTAGGGAGTTAGGCAGGGGCCTGGTCCTGAAAGCCCAAGAAGTGTTTACTTTCAGTTAAATACAATAAAAATTGTGAGATTCTGATGGGAGAGGTGGTGTCATTTTAGGAGTCACCTCCACTACGGATGTCCTTTAAGGATGGGAGAAGTGGCTTCTGGGTGACTGGGAAGAGAGAAAAGCCTGGAACTCTCAGAGGACTCAGGCCCGGATTGTGAAGGAAGAGCCTCCTTTCTGGAGACCTTTGAGCATGTGGTATCTCTAGGAAGAATTCTGAGTTGTGGGCATGGGAAGAAGAGCACTGGTTTTGCTGCTGAGTTTAGAAGACAAGAAGAGGGAGAACTGGGGAAAGGCAAAAGTGAGGAGCTGCACTGATGACGGGATGAGGTGAATGATTAATGAGAAATGAAAGTGAGGATAATAAATGACTAGATTGTTTCTAGCAATTTCTGACCTGAAACAGGTTTCAAATACATTCTGATCTTACAAACCTCAGAATTTGCTCCCCTCTCAACATGGAAAAACCAGAGCTCTACAAAGCTAGCTACCTGTCTGACTCCTGTGAGTTGAGTGGTTTGCAACTATCTGGTGGACTCATTCAGCAAGATCCCACATTATTCCTAGAGTCTGCAGGGTCACATATAGAAGTCATCATTTCTGCAGACTCCATGCACTGTGAAAGCTTTCTGTTTCCAGAGGCAGCCAGCACCCAACTGCACGTCTGTGCCCATGGCTGTTGTTTGCCTGCTGTCTTATACCTTGAAAGTAGTTATAGGTTGCCTAGCCACTCTAGAGCAGATCTGACCTGGCTGTCCAGCAAAGTCCTCTGTAATGCAATGCCTGAACTGTACCTTCTCTAGGGAAGTATTAACCCCTTCCAATTTTGTTTTTCTTTAAGCTCTGTCTCTTCACCATTGGGCACTATTCATCCAGTTTAATGTTTATTTATATTAAATTTCCCTTGCTTAGTGTACTGAGTGTTTTCTTCCTCCCATTTGGACCTAGAGAAATATAGCTTCCTAACATTTCAAACTATTATTTTCTCCGTTTTACTGAAGGGATAAACCAAAGCCTAGAAAACTAATGCAGAGCATGTTTAGGGACCGTGTGACAAGTATTAAAACCACCAAATGAGAGAGCTGAGATATACACCCTGTTCTTGATCCTTCCATTTCATACCATTATCACCCAAAATCCGCACCCCTGGAGCATCCATCCATCCAATATATTCATTTTTATGCTGGGCTTAATCTCTTCTTCCTGAAGCTCTGCTGCAAAATCTCATTTCCTAAGATTAGGACATCACTGAATAGCCCCTTGACATTTTTCAAATTCAAAATTTGAATTTTCCTTAAGAGTAGTACTTTTGAATGGGTTTCTCATAACTGTAACATTTCCCACTCTGACATCTGACTTTCCTGTATTCTACTCTCTTCCAGCAGCTCCTTTCATCTTAGCTCCTAGCTGAGGATAATGAATACTAGAAAGTTTCTAGAAATTTCTGACCTGGGGCACAAGTTCCAAATATATTTTGATCTTACAACCTCAGACTTTGGCCCCCTGGTAACATGGAAACCAGAGCTCTACCTGGCCAGCTACCTGCCTTCTTACCTCCCACTGAATCTGTTCTTTTGTTAAATACCATTATCCTTCCATCTCTTCCCAATGTACCACCCTGTTCTTGATGTAATGATCAATCTCTATAATATTTTTTCTATTCTTTCTTTTGTCATCATGATTTGGGTATTGTTACATCAATCAATACTCCTATATGGCTCCTACCATCTCTCTCTTCCATTGCTCACAGCATCTCTCTGCAAGGTATTTTTCTTACTACATTGTAAAACATGCTTATCAAAATGCCCTCTAACTGGCTGTGATATGTGATTTCAAATATTATTCTTCCTTAAGCTATTTATATTCACCATAACTCTCATCTGTACAATAATTATTACTTTCCTACTGAGCTCAAATTTCCTTCATTGATATTTCATCAGATCGAGTCCATATCACCTGTATTAGACGGTTAAATCTTAAAGAGAACATTAATAGGTTTTAGGTTTTCTTTGTGTTCATAGCAAAGTTCTGACATTGTTTCATTATGGCAGCATTTTCTTGAACAGTCTATTATTTATATACATTGAGTGATTTAAACTTTGCAAAGTCAAAACCAAGCTTGGAATAGGAAAAGTATTGGCTAGTTGTATGGAGTATGGGATGTCAGAATGACATAAGCAAACAGTAGAAATTCTTGACTCCTTTTCCTTGTTTTTCTTAGTGGTGGAAAGAGGACAAAATTTTGGGGAGAGTCTATAAAGGTGGCAAAGTCTTTTCATGAAAGCTTTTCCTCCAAATCAGGCTTCTTTTATGTGTTGCCCACTTTTATTGGTTTGACAGCCTCTGTTGGCCAGTGCAGTTTCCTAAGCTTCTATGGAGTAACTTCTGTATGCCTCCTCCAAAGTTCCAGGGACACTAAGGGCCACTCACCTGAAGTGACTGGTTTTTGCATTGGTAAGAGAAGCCATCATGACCATCATACCCTACAATCCCCCTCCCCCAGCAACCTCTTTTCTTTATTTAAAGAGAAAAAACCCCAGAAAAAATGGGTAGAAATAATACAGAATTTCAGAAAAAAATAAACAGTAAGAAATCACTAGTTGATAAGTTACATATTGTCATCTTAGAAATAGTTGTTCAAGTTACAAAATTAAAGCATACAAAGTGACATTCAAATAATGACACTGCAAACAGTTCTGCTCAATGATCCAACAAAAACTTAGTAATAGGGTTATCAGTCCTACACACTTGTTTTTTATCTTAAAGAGGGTAAGATTAAACATGACAAAACAGAACAGAATATTTCATAAGGAAACAATTTAAAGAAACACAGATTTCAAAGCAAGTCCACTGGAGATCTTCACTGTCTGTCTTATTGTCTCTAGTTTTGTTCCAAATAGTTGTCCCCATCTTCACACAAATTAAATATATACTGAACATTATAGAACTAATCAAATCATTACAGGATGATGAAGGCTTTTTAGGTCTTCAAGACCTGATTTTGGGGAAGTCAATAATGACTACCATAATGTCTCTCATTCTCTTCATAGTAGCTGTCTTTATCTTTATGTATGCTGAAATTGAACGTAAGAGACTAGACTAATATCACTCTGAACAGTG